TCTTCGCCTTGGAATCGGCCACTGGCTATCAGAAGAAACTGACCGTTGATTATAGTGCCCGGGAGTGGGTGAAACAGGGAGCTCCCAAGGAGAAGCTGCTCATTGGAATGCCGACCTATGGACGCAGTTTTGAGCTGGTCAACGATACCCAATTCGATATTGGTTCACCCTCTTCGGGTGGCGGAAAGGCCGGCAAGTTCACCAATGAGGCTGGATTCCTCAGCTACTACGAGGTCTGCTCCTTCCTGGCCGCGGACAACACCACCCTCGTCTGGGACTCGGAGCAGCAGGTGCCCTTCGCCTACCGCGGCAACCAGTGGGTGGGCTTTGATGATGAGCGATCTCTCAAGACCAAGGTGAGTTTAGAGTTATTTAAAATAAAATAAAAATCAATTTTAAAGTTTAAGTGTTTTCAATTTTATTTATATTTTTTACTCATTATACAAATTTTTGCTTTACACATTTTTAAGAGTTCCTAATTAAAATACTAAATTGTATTACTGATATTTTTAGAAAGTATAAGTTAATCCCCTTTATATAATTAAAAGTTAAAAAGAAGTTTAAAGTCATTACCCGATTTCCTGAATGTTTGTACTATTTTTTATATTTATTTTGACTTCTTAAGAAGTTTTTTTAAAACAAATTTGACTCAATATAAATTGTCTTTAATCATCATAATCTAAACTAAAATAAAAAATTTTCGGGACATTATAAACAACATTAAATTAGTTACTGAGAAACTAAAGTTAATTAAACATTTTTTTATATTTTCCTAAAAATTATTTATAAGTAAAGTAATGTTCCTAATTTAAAAAAAAAAACTATTTATAAGTAAAGTAATGTTCCTAATTTTAATATTAACCCTTTTCTTCTTAATTTTTCAGACCGAGTGGCTGAAGGAGCAGGGTTTCGGAGGCATCATGGTGTGGTCCATTGACATGGACGACTTCTCCGGTCGCTGCGGCAGTGGCAAGTACCCCCTGCTGACCGCCCTGAGCGATGAACTGAAGGACTACAAGGTGGAGCTGGAATACGATGGACCCTATGAGTCCCACGGCCCACGCGGAGCCTACACCACCAAAGATCGTAAGTTTTTAGTAGAGATTAACCAAGAAATCATATAATTAATCATAATATCCCCACCATTTCAGCCCATGACGTGACCTGCGCCGAGGAGGACGGACACATCAGCTACCACAAGGATTGGGCCGACTGCACCCACTACTACATGTGCGAGGGCGAGAGGAAGCACCACATGCCCTGTCCCGCCAACCTGGTCTTCAATCCACAGGAGAACGTCTGCGATTGGCCCGAAAATGTCGAGGGATGCCACACGCCCACGGAGGCGCCCGCCTAAGTTCTCCATCCAAAACCCCCCAAGGGTGGAATTGTTAATATTATGAAATCGATGCCCTAGATTTAGTTGTAATCATGCGAAACTGCCACGAAACTCTTTTGCTGCCGCCGCCGCCGTCCCCTTTCCCGCTTAAAAAACAACTACCACTAACTACGAAAAATACTCGAAAAACTTGCTAAAATTTCGGCTGATTTTTTTTAAACACTAAATATAGGTCTAGTGCTAGTGCTGTAAGTAGTTTTTATGTCTTAGTTACCAATTCGCACCCACACAAAACAAAGAAGATGAGAACGATGAAACCCGAAAACAACCAGACCTACTTTCTGCCCAGGCCCAAAAAACTAAAAACTATCTTTCGCTTTTCCGTATGACTCGTAACAAAAAGGTTTATATGGAAGATGACCGAAACTTCCGTATAGCAAACTGTGATAATCATAAGAGACCAACACTATCGAAATTTTGTCTAAAAATCAAGCGAAACAGAAACAGTTTACCCTCCTTATAAATGAAAGCTATCTGCTGCTTTTCCCCCCATCTCATAATTCCCTCTATCTGAATAATACAAAAAACAGGCACAAAGAAAATTGTACATTTTCAAGTTTTAACAATAAATTTGTATTATAGAGTTGTAATTACGTAGTTAAAATAAAAAAAAACTTAAAAACAATACAAAAGTATGGTTTAAATTCAGCTTAAAATTAAAACTTATTAAAAACAGAAGGAATTATTATCCCCTTCTCTATTTTTCATATTTATTACTGATGGCCCCAGTCTTGCGACAGGGCACTACTAAAAATTATTTTAGACTCATTAGAGTGTTCCTCTCCACGGAAATCTTTAGTAAAAGGCGAAAGATTTATTCGACAATTGAAGAGAAACCAGAGTGCCGAACAGCAATTTCTACCGGCTAGTCCATGTCGAAACTGCTAGAACCAGTTGGGAATTATATGCACCCCAGCTCGGACATGTTTCGTGGAAACTTTTGCTCTCTGCATACTTTTAGGGTTGGCAAAAAAACTCTCTATAAATTCTCCACAGTGGAGAATGAATTCAATGAGCGCGCTGTTTGAAATGTGCGCATGCCCTTGGTTCTTTTGCTTTTATTTTCGATATAAGACGGTTGTTATACATGCCTCTTATATTTATCCAACTTTTATGCAACTTATGCCAGATGATCAAAAATAACACAGGCCGACAAAATGTTACATGGGTCAGTGCTCAGGCCTGCCACGATTTTATTTCTGAGCATAAGTTGCCACTACGCCTATAGTCTATAGTCTATAGCCTATCAGCTCTGGTATTTGCGGTATCTTAAGATTAAGAAAATCACAAACTTTCTTCGTTTTTTGGGCAACATCTTCAAGAGTGGTCAACCAATTTTGGTAATCTTTTCGGAATTAAATAGTTAAATTTCTTTTTGTTTTGGAAAATTTAATCTAACTGAACCACAAGAGAAAAAAAAAGTCACAGCAAAGTTTAAAAATCTTCATTTGTGATCAGCGCTTAAAAATTAAATAAAAATATTTTTATTCATTTCTTGTTAGGTCCTACAATCACACAAAGCAAATGCTTTCGTTAAATTTATCATGACAGAATTATAAGGAGCTCTACTTCTTCTGAAACTGATTTTCAAGAGAAGGCCTTAACACCCAGTAAGTTGAACCAAATTTAATCCACCAAAAACAACGCATGGCATTTAAAAATTTTATTATTTTTTTTATTGGTTTTCTCAAAAAGTTTTTTATACATTTTGTTTTCGTTTTAATTAAATAATTAGTCTTACGTTGATGTACACAATAATTTAAAAATAAAGTACGCTGTAATCTTGACAAACGGAAAGAAAGATAAAAGTACAAAGGTGTAAAAAATCAAGAAAAATATTGTAAAATTTGAGTAAAACTGAATTGCATAAACCATCTGAATCCGAATATGATCTGATTAAATCGAGTTGTCAACAAGTACAAAATTAGTATAAATCACACAATAAACTGGTAAACGAACCACAGCATCTACCGATTTGAATATTTGTTTACTTTTGTATAACACTTAGGAGATAGAATTGCCAAAATTGGAAACTTTTGCTTAGAGGAATTATGAGTGGACTCTGTAAAATTGGATCCATTAGATTTGTTACCTTCCATCATCGTTCTTCATTCGTTGCAACAAAAAATGATATCAATATGCAGTTTTCGCGAGTCTCGAAATCAAATTGTACTTAATATGTATTTAAAAGTTCCTTGCTTTTCCATTTCATGTGATTTGGTGGTGGTGCGGAGTAGTTGAAGCCTTTTAGTATTCCACGATCTGATCTCTCGTTTCGAACCGCTAGAGATCGGCGGTTTGCGACTTTCGGTTGGGTGATGATATGCGGCCGCGCAGGCGCAACGCGACTTTTCGGAAATGTAGGGGGTGGTGAAATATATAGCGGGGCGGAGTTTTACAACTAGAGACAGACTTTCATTAGCAAAATATTGTACTCGGATGTTCAGCGCGTGCGTGGCAATTCACATACGTGTATGATGGACCAACACAAATAGTTCGAATGTAGATATTGCGTGTCGCAGACTCTTTCAAAATGGATGTATTATGTACATATCACGCTATTGGCCTAGACAATTTCGTTTCGATTTTAGTTGTTGCGATTTCGGTTTCGGTTTTACAGTTTTTTAGAGTTTTCAGTTTCAGTTATTCAGTTTAGATTTGAGTATCTCGTTGAGCTACTTTCTAGAGTCGCGCTGTGCGTCGCTTTGCATGTTCCATGAACCAACATTTACATTTTCTTTACAAATACATAGTTTCTCATCTCATCTCTACTCATTACATCTCATTACATTTCGTTTTTGTTTTTTGTAAACTTTTTAAATTGTATTTAGAAAATTTGTGTTTTTTTCGTTTTTAAAATATTTTGCTATAAAAAATACACAGTTTGAAAAATAAAAAACGTTTCTCGGTTGTCCTCGTCTTCTTGCTCGTCTGCTTCTCTCGCTTTTTGCATTATTTTCCTTTATTTCCTTGCGATTTCTCAACTTGTATCATATATTTTTTTACTGTAGGGGAGAAGAGGCAGGCGATCATTGTCAGACATGCTTTATAAACATTTGATGTGGTTCCTTGTTCACTTTCTTACGTTCACTACGTTTCTCATCTCATTATCTCCTTATCCGTCTACTCTGCATTTGAATTTATATATTTTTTTGTTGTTGCTCAACGATTTTGCTGCACTGTTGTTGCAATTGTTTGTTTTGTTGTCATTACAGTTATTTATTGTTGCAAAATTTTACAATTTTTTTCTTTCGATTTTTTAATACATATTTATAAATACTTTCATCCTCTCTTAGCTCTGTAAAAATAGATCCATGTTTTCTCGGCTCTTTCGCGTGATTTCTTTCTTCCCGTTTTTTGTTGTTGTTGTGTATTTTTTGCATTTTTTAACAAATTTTTCAAATTTTTTTTGCTTTTAAGTTTTTTTTTCTTTTTCCTTTTTGTATTGTTTGCATTTTTTTGTATTTTTGCTTTTTTCTTTTGGAGAGATTTCGTTTTCAAAAAGTTGTTGTTGTTGGTTTATTTTTGTGGTTGCGGTTGTTTCTTTTTGTATTGTTTTTAAATGCCTAAAATTTAGTTAGAGCTAACATAACATTGGATATCGGTTTTCATCTTTCTTTTTTTTCGTTTTTGTTGGTTTTTCTGTTTTGGCTTAACAATAAACATCTTCTTCGTATTATTTACTTGTTTTATGGGTTCTCAAAATGTCTTAGTCGTAATGAATGTTTCGCTTAGTGGCTAATCCGTTTAATCGTAGTCGCTTTGTGGTCGTGCGGAGGGTGGCTAAGTGAGCTGCGCGTGTTTTCAGGATCAGCAATTAGAATCAGGAATCCTGTTTTCCGTTTCCAGCTGGCTTAAACCCCGAGGTTGCTCAGTTGGCCGCACTTGACATCAGTTCGGAGAAGGCGTTCTCCAGACAATTCTTGAGTTCAGCATAGGAGACGATGAGTACCGATTGCTCGTCGCGGGACATCAGTTGCACCTGTAAAAGTTTCCAGTTGTTAGTTTAACAAGATCTAAGGATCCACGGGCCTAACTTATCCAACTTTACTTACGCGCTCTATGGAGCCAGCATCCAGCTTGTTGAGGCATTGTACAATGTGTGCGTGATCTAGCCAGGGCCGGCCATCCTCAGTGACGGAATGGAACAAATAATCACGGAATAATTTCAACATGTATCTATCACCAGTCTCGGACCAAGTGCAGTCCAAATTGAAGCTGTAAGAGTTCGGTATTTCATTATTTCTGCTATATTCTTCCTTAGTTCGGCAGTAAACCTACTCGGGTCGCTCGTTGATGCTGTTTAGTTTGACCAAAATGCGATATAGCCGACCGTTTTCCATCTCCTTGGCCAGCTCATCCTCCTGCATATCAATTTGGCTCTGCAGGGCATCCAGTTGGGTGTAGAAGCGGGCACCAATCATGGGCATCAGATCGGTCACCGAGCGACGGTTATTCGTGGTGAAGAGGTAACTGTTTGAAAAAAAAGGTTAATTTTATAGTTTATTACCCAAAAAAGAGTTTCTTACACTATAAAGTTTCGCAGATCGGTGGAGTAGTTTCGCGTGACCATATCGATGCTCGACTGGACGTTGTCGCGTTGCACGGATTGAAGGCAGCGACAGGCCAAAGCTAATACTAAGCGACCCAGAGCGGTCAGATCGTCCTGAGGGCATAGAAAGTATATTCATAAGTATTTATTTAATAATTAAAATATATGAATAATTTACCTGCTGATGCATATTAACCAGTGCCAAGGGATTGGCCGCATTCGGATCGAATTGCGTTATGTCCGAGATGCAGCAGGAGCTAAACCGTACCCGCTTGCCCGTCACTATGATCTTTGTGGGATCCAGAACCCTAAAGAGGATAGATATACCATTAGTTTCTAGCCAAATAATATCCAAAGGTGATTCAACTTACTTGCAAGCCAGACCGGCATGGTGGATGGCCTTTAATCCAGCGGTCAGCTGCATGATGATGGACCAAATGGTGGCCTCCGGCAGCAGGGGTCCATTGCTCGTTCGCTGCATGTTGCTCTTATGACTGCAAAATAATATTAATTAATTATTATATTATCTTAATAATATTACAGTCAAAGATAAAACCCACCTGAAGGGGCGGGCCTCGCCTTGGAATGGATCAGTGTACCCGTTGGTCTCTGGCGCCGGTGTGAAGTATTTGGCCAGTAATGTTTGTGAGCCGGGATAATAGTCGTACACTAATACTAAAGCTGTGGGTGGGTGATGGCCCGAGGATAAACATTATTGACATGGTAATTACGCTTTTCATTCACCTTAAATATCCCACTTGCTTCTCCTTCAGCCTATCAAGTACCACCTTATATTTTAACGGAATCAAGGTTAACGCTCTTTTTTATCAGTGATCACTAATTAGGATTTGTGATAATTATAGTCTGCTTAGTTAAGATTACGGAATTTCAAGTGTTATGCCATAAATAGCAATAGATTACGGCATGCATAACCTTTTATGGAATTACTTTTGGGTATATCCCAAGTCACCAAACTCTTTATGTGTTTCAACCTTCTAACATTACCCCATAATTATATAGATGACATCGTCCTTGATTCCCAGGAGCAGCATTAAACACACACTTATAGCTAAGGGTTCCAAAGACCAATCCCCCCACTTACAGTTATCACCAAATGCTTTCGTCGTGAACACCTCACGCAATTGTACCACATTCGTGTGCTGCAGCTTCTTCCACATCTCCACCAGCGTCATGCACTTGGTCGACTGCAGGCGGAAACCTTCAAATATAAACAGACAATTAATTAATAAAGGGTTTACAAGGTACTCTAGTTCAAGAACCCACCATGTAACCTCCGCAGACAGTACTTGTAGCCCGTCGTATTGTGCGTGGCCCTATAAGTGCTGGCGGGAAGCGTGAGCTTGGCGTGCATCGGCTGTGCCGGCGGCTCCAGCGGATACAGCGCATGATAGTTGTCCACCTCCATCGGCAGGGCGTGCTGCGCAGCCTCCGCTGCGTCCATGATCAGGTTAGAGATCTCGTTGCGGGCAAGGATTTCGGAGCGCATCTCGTCGGGCATGAAGAAGGCCGACTCCAACAGCGTCTTCGGCTGCAGGGTGATCACGTTGGAGGACGGTCCCGGATACACATGCCCCGTGTACATCATGGTCGGCGGTACGCCCGCGCTCATCGGTGCCACGGCACTCACCCCGTGGTGGGCCGGATGCGTAGAGTCCACCACCACGGAATTGACGACGGGCTGGTTGTTCTGTGCGTTGGCAGTTGGATAGAAGTAGATGGTGCCGCCGACGTTCTCCTGCGAAAGGGTTTGAAATAGGATTAGTAACTGTGTTTCGGGATATAAATCATTTAAATCCTGCGCTTCAAATGATTCGAATCATTAAGGCATTTATGACTTATTAACTAGAGTTAAAAAAACGCGAATTTTTCAGTTTTGTCTTTCGAATCAATTAAAACATTGAATGATTCGCATTGAATGACGCGAATTCTTTAGTTTTTATTTCAAATCAAATTAAACATTGAATGACTCGAATTGAATGACGCGAATTCTTCAGTTTTGTCTTTCAAATCAATTAAAACATTGAATAATTCGAGTTGATTGACGCGAATTCTTAAGTTTTTCTTTTAAATCAATCAAAACATTGAATGATGCGAATTAAATGACGCGAATTCTTCAGATTCTTAAGTTTTTCTTTTAAATCAAATAAAACATTGAATGATTTTAATTAAATAAACGAATTCTTCAGGTTTTTTTTTCAAATGAAATGTTTCAAATCATTTGAATAGGTAAAGGAATGATTTAAAGAGCACTTTCACTTCTTTCACCTCGATCTCCACTCACCTGATGGACGCTGGTAGGCAGCGAAGTGGGTATGGGCGATGCTCCGTGCGGCGTCATCCCGTGTGGTGGCGACTTCTCGCCGGGTCCTCCGCCCGAAAGCATCGCTGCCGTGGGCGATTCCTGGCGCAGCATGGCGCTCCGTCCCTTGAGCGGCGTCTGGGCGGACATATTGCTGACGAATGGAGCTGCGGCGGGATTCGGTGGTGCGCCACTGATCGCAATGGGGGCCGAGGCGGCGGACACCGCCCCACCGCCCACTGGCTGAGGATGCTGTTGCTGTTTCTGTGGATGCTGTGGCTGCTGCTGCTGTTGCTGTTGCTGTTGTGCGATGGTTACAGTGGCGATCGAGGCGGACTTTTGCAGGGCGAGCATGGAGGCGCCGCCGTTGGCCGTTTTGCTGATGGTCACCGAGGCGGAGGACACCGATGACGTGGATGAGGAAACTGAGGCGGCGGCTGCTGCGGCTGCGGCGGCTGCTGCTGCGGCTGTTAACCCATTGACGCCGTTGAGCCCATTACTCAATTGCATGGGCGCGTTGTGATATGGTGCGTAGAAATTGGGGGTCGAGCTTATGCGCGTTGGAATGAACTCGGGCGACTGCGGCGTGACCTATGGTGAATTGAGTTAAATAATAGTTATTAGTAATGATTTTTGAATCACTGTTTCGATTTTCTTATTCGGCAAGAGATTATAACTCGATTAATTAAGTTTTGGGCTATATAACACCATTCACTTTCTGATTTCAAATAAATCTCTATCGTAATCTCTTGCCAAATTCAAGAGTTAAAAACACACCTGTAGAAAACACATATAGACAAACACTTTTATACATTTCGGTGGATAGGAAAGATACTAAACTAACTACTTCACTAAAGGGCTAGGCTAATATTATAAAAACCTCTACGGAAACATTTACAATTCTAACGAATTTTTTCGTGGATGTCACAGAGAAAAAAACATTGGGGAATGGGGGAAACCAGATATTTACGGCTTTACCTGGGACTTTTTATTTAGGGGCGAATCCAAATTAAGTAGTGAGAACCCGTTATTCAGCCCATAACCGCTCGGTGTGGCGACATTCTGTCGATTCTGAGATGATACACCAAAAATCGGAGTAGACGGATAGATAGAAATTCAGAGAAATACAAAGAAAATAGTGAGAATAATTCAGTTGTGCTGGGTGGAATTGGAATTAAATTAAAGATAGTAGCAGAGCAAAATTATAAATGGATCATAAAATATATAAGATATGGATAGTTAAGGCTTGAGGGGATTGTTTAAAATATCTTTAGTTAAGTGCTGTCTGCTAAAAATACTACTGCTTTCAAAATAAGTGTTTTCTCGTCTATGCAAGCATTATCTTATCTGAAGTCCACAACTTGAAATATCAGACATTGCAGTGCCAATCCCATAAAAATAATGAGTTAAATACCTTATGTATTAAGTGCTCTTTATGATAAAGAATTTACGCAGCAGAATCACAGCATTTTTAGTAATATTTTTAAAATGTCTTTGAGAATCATCTTTCATCTTTAATAACTTTTTATATAAACTATTTAAAGATTTCCTATCTGGTTTGGAATAAAATGAAATTAGCAAGAATTACTTATAGGCCACCATATCTTTAATTCCCGGTCCCTTATAACTACAAAAATTCTCAGAATTGCGTACATTAAAATGATTATTATTTGTCATGGTATTTGCAGCATACACTCATTGAATTGCCCCATTTGATTTGCTGATCTTTGGATTTTCTAAATGAAATTGAGCGGCAAATTTACTGCCTATTGCCTTTAAGTTCCGTAAATTTTTCCATTAGCACACTTCCATGGCAATTATGCGGTTGCCACATTAATAATTTATTGTTAATAATTCTCTGGCATTTCAAGAATCGCACACAAGAGAGAATAAAAAATCCATGCATAAACACAAATTGATATTTAACGTGCATATTCGACTTATATGGCACTTTGTGTGCCAGTGGACCCAAAAATAAAATATAAAAGCCCGAAAAAGTCGGTCAAGTGTATATTATGTGCGACTGAGCGTTGAAATTGAAATGGTTCGAGTAAATTGAGTGAAAACAAATAAAGCATAATTAAAAATACTTGAGGCAAACGTGGCCAGCTGTTAACTTTGGCGGCCAACAGCTGCTTTCAGTGGGTGGTTCTTGAATTTGGGGGCTAATAATCTTCCCCTTAAACTGTTATCGTCTTGTTTTTGGTGGGGAAGACTCTGATAAAAGATAGGGAGGGGGAGTTACACTTACCATATAAGTAGCGAGTTTACTCTCTGACGGTATACCATTCGTTGGCGAGAAGAAAATTGGATCCATAGCAGCCGTATCTAAAAAATAGAGCAGGAAAGAGATGGAATTATTATAGAGAGAGCTGTGTTACATACGATAATTGATTAGAAATCAATTAAACAAACATCAACATGAATATTACTATGTGTGTGTGGTGTTTGTGCGATAAGCCTGCCCCCTCAAACTATTCCGCACCCCCTTCTTTCTTCTCATTTTTTTTTTTGTTATATTTCATGTTATTTTCCACAGTTATCGATACGACGATAACGCGCGTAGGCCCCAACATTTTTGGAGTATGCGCAATATATATTGTTGTTCTGGTTCTGTTTCTGGTTGTGCTTCTTCTTCGGGACTCCAGGTCAAAGCAAATAAAAGCCAAGACGCAATTTCTGCGGTAAACAACAGAGCCGACAAACTTAGAACTTAGCAATTCGCACATTTAAAAAAAATAATACAGCCGAATATAGAATAGTCTGTGTGTTATAGTAGGGTTACTCAGGTGTTTAATCACAACAATACCTTCCTCCTATGTAGACAACTCGGAAGCAGAAGCAGCGCCCTCATGACTAATCAACGTTTCTATGCTGAATTCTTTTCTCTGCTCTTAAAGTTCTCTGATTTTCGAACGCCTTCTCCACCGGATATCTGAGTGTTGAATCAATGCTAAGCAGATTCGACGCGTTTCTTTTTCGTTTCGATTGCAAGTTGACTACTACTTTGCCTTCTGCCAAACCGAAAGTGAAAAAATTCAATTTCAAAAGCAAAACATTTAATTCGGGGTACGGGGCCAATGCCTCTTGCCAATGTACGAAGAGAAAACAAGTGATATTGGCCTTGAAATTCGCTGCTATATAGCATATATACACGAGAATACGTAAAAACATTTTATATTTATATGGAGCAGGTTGTATTCGCTATTCGTGCAATTTCGGGGGAGGGGTAGGGGAAGGAGGAAAGTCGAGAATATATTGAATAATTGACTGAATTTTAATAGGCCTTATTCGGCGATTTCTATATTAAGTAACTGCCGATAAGTACATTCAATGTGCCATATTTTCCAGGCATGATATATGTTTTAGGGTTTTAATCCTTACTTAATCCCGAGTTAAATATTAGAACTAGGAACTTAATTGCAAGCCACAGATATTAAAATGGAAAATTATGCTTTTTCTGTATTTTTCTCACAAATTATGGTAAATACCATTTTATTTTAAGGAATCCATCTTCAAAACTTTCGTTTTCCCTAAGTAAAATATAAAAACTATTATTTTAATTTAAGAAACCAATCGTTAGAACTAGGCAAATTCCAAACATTATATTTTAATAGAAAGCATGAATCATATTTTCTTTTTCTTTAAAGGGTACCAAGAATTCGTAGGCCCCAATTTTGTTTACAAAATGCGAGATTATTGTTGCTGTTGATGATGATGCTGTGGCCATATAAGCAATAATTCGTAGCCTGATTTTATTTATTTGACTTCGAATTGGAAAACAAACACACAGGCGAACAACAGAACGCAAAACGATTTAATTGAATGCCTACATATGTTAATGATAATTATGATGTGTGCTTTTATTTATTTATATTTTGTGTGCACCGGGCGATTGGTAATTAGGGGGCGAAAAAACCTGTGGGCGGCGATAACCTGTTAAGGCAGGGCGACAGTTTTTGAGTCACAATCAGGTGTTGCCGACAGTTTTGCAGCCCGAGAAAAAGGAAAATAACTTACTTGAACATGGCCAGAATCAAAGTTGTTCTTTTTTTCACTTTACATAAATCGTTAGCCACTGGTTGTTTGTTGGCATGACGTCGGTAGAAAAAAAGCGATATACGTCTATATTTTAGGGTTTACGTGAGCAAGTTTCGGTGTTCGTTGGGTTATATACAACATATATCTACACATAGAAAACCGATGATTATTGGGCCGTTGCCTTATGCTGCGTTTCGCGGTGAAATGGACAGCTTTAGCTTTGTTTTGCTTCAAAGATCACGAACGCGTTCATGAAAACGCCACATACAAATATATATACGTTGGTTCGTTCGTTGGGGTATTCACATATATATCTGTATATTTCTTTCTTTTTCATACATATATAGATAGTCACACGTTTGGGGAGCAGGCCAAACAATAACAAAAACTGTGCTGTTACGTCACGTAAAGTGAATATGTAGATGTGGCAGAGGCGGTATGGTATGGATGGTCTACCATCTACATTTACCGTTTACCGCCAAGCTCACTTTGTTTTTGCTATTATTCAAAACGAGGGAGAGCCGCGAAATTGTTTTTTTTTGTTTTTAGCCGGCGCAAGTGGAAGTGTAATGAATATGCAAGCGGTGAAAATAACACAACGGTTCGGATCGGATAGGATCGGTTCAAAAATCGGTGGGGGCACCAAACCAACAACAGACCATCGATCGCGCCACGAACCGAGCGGCAGCGCAGCGTTCTCTAAACTGAAAACCCCAGCCGCTTTTTTGCTTTGGGGAAACGCGACTACGAACCGACTGTGCACAGTGGGCTAAGTAGTGTAAAATCTTTTTGAAAATGCTTTGGTTGATAACGAGTATCAAACTAGATTTATGTAGATTTGAGACCTCATTGATAAGAAATATAAAAAAGTTAGATTAAAGCAAAATATTTTGTTAATTCATCTGGAAAAGTGGTTTATTTAGAAAGGAATCTATATCATAAAAGTATTTATTTGTTACTTTTTCTGGTGATGATATTTATGAATTAAACAATAGCATTATTTTTTTAAAAAAAATGGTTTCTTGCTTTAAATCGGAATATTTCTATATATAAGATTTTCAATGATGTAGTTAGTTATAATTTTATTATTATAATAATATTTATTGGTTTTTGAGATCAGCTTATATCACTTATTTGTTCCACTGTGCCTGGACAGCTAAAAGAGAGGGAGAGCGAGAGAATGAGAGCGACGGACCCGGCCCCACAGTGCGTGTCAAACTGTGTGACGATGACAGACGAGCGGCGAAGACAAAGTGGGCGTGTGGTGTGGGGTCCGCTCGCTCGTCCGCCCGATTAACTGTACATATGTGGCCATAGCTGCAGATGTTGTTGTTGCTTCGCTATTGCTGCAGATACAGTCAAACACTCATACCTTGAATTTTTACTAATCGAAGTGTTAGAGTTCTATTCTAAGTGATCCCTGCCCTATTTTTCCAAAACTTTCGTGTCTATGAATAAAATTGTATAATAATAGTACTCTCTTAAATTGAATCTGGAAAACATTTGCATAAACGACTTATTCGTAATTTTAACCATTTTAAAGGGATTAAAATTCTAAATTTTCTAAAAATATGTTTGTAACTGGGAATAAATAAAAGTTCCCGCTTATAAATAATTCAATAGAAGTCCATCAATCATTTTTCCCATTCGTCTTAAAGCTCTATTAACCCCTTTATCAAGAATTTTCTTTCGAATTTACATATAACATTCCCATAATTATAGTTCGAGTTAGTAAAATTCCACTGTACTGGGAAAGTTCAAGCTCTGCAGGCACACGCGCCACAATAAGAACAATGAAAATCCATTGGCGTTGTTTGTTTGTTTGTTTATTTTCCTCTTACAGCACCGAAGTGCTCACAGTTTGAGAGGCCCCCTAGTCTGGGTTCCAATGACCCTTATACGATCCCAAAGGGGATTGCATTCCAAATTAAGATCATTTCGTACTTGATAATATATAGATCAATATTTAATATCTGTCCTAAAAAACAGCTTTATTTGTATACCATTTTGATATTTTTATTAATATCAGGTTTACTTTTAAAGGAAAATAACCCAGCGATTCAGCGATTATCATCATGTGTTTGTCCATCACCGAAACGAGTATTTTGCGGATTCTAATTATGAGAGAGTGGGGCGTGTGTGCACGGGGCTGTAAGCGATCATCTGATAAGTTCACATCCAAATGGGGAGGGGGTGTGAAACGAGGAGGGGTTCACGCACACACACGTGCAAATCGCTTTATGGCATGCAAAGCTCTCAGTGTAATAATAATTCACTCGCACACATTTGTAAGTACATTATAAATGAAATATTTATAGCCAAGGCTTTGGCTTCATTATCAGCCCAACCGCAGTCAAACGCTAACACACACACTCAAATCTATATATAACACATATAGAGACAGATACCTATAAGGTGTACATAATGGTAACTCTGTGCACATATTAATTGGCCCCCAACATGATTTCCTGTTCGAGATCATAAGAAATTGATAGAAATATTAAGAGACCCAAGCCAGAACGGCCAGCTCCCCTTAAAGTGTCGTTTGAAGTTAAATGATAAGGGGACACTTCACCTAAAAAGTAAAAAGATAAGAACCCTAAGTCAAAAGACAACGTATTTTCTGTAATTGAAAAATATAATAGGGTAGAGGAATTTTCTTTCGAAGATAAGAATAAGTAATGGGTACGTCAAAAGACAGGTTGTAATGAGTTCTTCTTGAAAGAAAAAATCAGCAATTAGTTTAGCAGTCTATACATTATATTAAGTAACTGCTTTAGGTTAATATAATAATAACTCTGGAGATGCCTTGCAAATGTATTTGAGAACAAATTGCTCATAATAATTTAGCAACTTAAAACATTACAACCGTCAGGTGACAAAACGAGTAAATAATGCTCAATGCACTTGAACTTTGAGCTTTGCTTTGCTTTTAACATAATATTTGCATATTGATTTAAGTGTCTATGTAGCACTTAAAGTTTGTGGAAACAAATAGTATATTACCATAAAATCTGTATGGGTTTAAAATTTGAGACAACAAAACTGTTTGACTTACCATAATTTTGAGAAAATAAATTTAGGTATTGGATTGTAATATTTTCTGCATTTCTGATCATTACTATTATAAATTTTTTTTTATATTATTTTTTTTTTTTATTAAGGACTGATAAAATTTCTATTAAATTTATTCCATTTAAAATATTTTATAACAATATTTTCCCACAGATCTCCTTCCGTGTGGTTAGAGAATAAATTAATTCCGTTGGTGGGAACCCATTAGCGAT